AAAATAGAATAAATTAAGAGATTTAGTCTCATGTTAGGTTCTTACCAGAAAGGGATTGTTTAAAAATGCCTCCTGGGGTTGCAGCTAAGCTGTATATGGACAGGTCAGTGCCTTTTCCTCAGCTTGCCTCTTACCTAGGTGTGTACACACGCGCCCACACGTGCACACAATGCAGACGTGGGGAATTACTACTTTTTTCCCCTTAAAGATATCCACCCACTTCCCTGGCTGGTTTCCTGGTCCCCAGAAGCTGCTTTGCAAGTGGGTCCAGGGGGCTGAGACACCAAGGAAACTCTGCCCTGTGGCTCACGTGGTTGTCCCCCAGTCCCTTGGCCACCCCCCCAGCAGCTGTTGCGATGTCTTTCTGTATCCCAGATATGAAATCTCTTGCTTTTAAAAATCATTCTCATCAGACTCTTCCATGATGGGCTGATATCCGAGCCCCGTATGCCACTCACAGTCCTCAGTGGCAGATGTCATCCAGGTGGTGGACGAAGGCTGAAATCTCTCACCTCTGAGGACACAACAGTGCAGGGAGAAGTTGTCAGCACTCTGAAAATGAATTAAAGTCTTGCACCACCCAGGAACATTAAGCTTTTCATCTTGCCCCATCGCCACCCTCCTGTCGCCTCAGCTCTGGTAGCCTTGTTAACCGGTGATCACTGTACTGAACGTTGGCAAACTGGCCAACACTGGGGGTGGGCCGAGGGAGGCTGGGGCTGTTCTCAACGCTTCATTCGCAGTGAGTTATCATTGTCTGGCCTCTCTGGAACTTCCCTGGAAATTATACTCATCCCCTTGCCTTTTGTGGGCCCAACTTGGAGCCCGGGGTGGCAGCCTTTGCCCAGAGTGTTTGTGGGACCATTCATGCCAGTGCTTAACATCGTGGCTGCCTCGGGTGTTGGCAGCAGGATAGGTAGCAGAGTCACTGAATAACGTAAGGAAAAACTGGTGTTCACTGTGCTTTTGGAAGCCTCTGGGAATAATCCTGGGAATTTCAGAGGACCAAGGTTAGGCTGAATTAGTTCAGAAAAGTCACGAAGCAGACAAGATCAAAATTAAACAGCAGCAACATGATCCCTGGAGTGTATGCGTATTTGCTTTCTGGAGTCGCTGCATTGTCTTATTGAGTTCTCAATAGAAATGTATTAGAGATGAAAAGTAAAAATATATGACTAACACTGAGGACACAGAGAGCGGTGAATAGAAACCGCCTGTTCCTGAGGAGGTTTAGACATTGGGCTTCTTGGACAAAACCTTTAAGTGTGCTATTTTAATGTGTTTAAAGGACAAACTGTGCCTACATCCTGAAAGTGTTGTGGGTTGGTTCTAGAATGTTCCCCCATAGCCTCATGCACTCATGGATCATGAGGATGCTGCAGCTGAGTGGGCTGATAGGAAGTGGACTGGGTTGGAAGAGATGGGTCCCTGGAGGCGTGGCCTGGGAGGGTTCATCTCCCTTCCCGACTCCTCCCTTTGCTTTCTGCTTCCTGGTCCACCATGATGTGAGTAGCTGTCCTCCACTCAGGCCCTTCTGCCTTGCCTTTTAAGTATTTAAGCCAAGCATGCACTGGAACTTCTGAAACCATGACCCCAAATGAACCTCCCCTCCTTTGAGTTGGGGGTGTTGGGCATTTTGGACCTGTGACAAGGAGAGAGAGTAGACTGGAAACCATGAGGATAACTTCTCATTAAACAGAAAATAGCAGGAGATTGCATGAATGATTTAAAGACCCAATTAATGAAATAGAAACTCCCAATCTGGAAACTACAATAGATGAGCTGAGAAGTGGGCTAGAGGGCTCTGCAGGTGAGCTGGTGGCAGAAAAAAGCATCACTGACCTTGAAGGTCAGTCCAGGGAAGTTTTTTAGTCTGAAGAATGGAATGAAGAAAAGGATGAAAGAAACGAAGAGAATCCCAAAGCTCATGGGCATATCAAGTCCCAGAGGAGAGGGAGAGAAAGAGACAGAGGAATATCAGGGGAAACGATGGCCCCAAATTCCCCCAAACGTTAACTTATGCACGCAAGAGGGTCACTGTTCTCCAAGGTGCATGAGCTCCAAGAAGCCCCCAGCAAGACACATCTGCACCACACAGTCCCAAAGATGTGGAGACCATCTTCCTACAGCCAGAGAGCAGCAGCTCTGCATCCACGAGCAGCTTCAGCATCACTCAGGGCTGATTTTGTATCAGAAACCCAGGAGGCCAGACGTGAGCAGTGTACTCAAAGGCTGAGAGAAGAAGAAAAGAATTCTGGACTCTGCCAAACTCTCACATGCTGCTCCCTTCCTTGGGCCCCTGTCCTCCTGCTGTCAGTGTACCTGCTGCCTTCCTGGGACCCCATCATCCTGGTTTCCATGTGCCTGTCACCTTCTGTCTTACAGAAGTCACCTCATGCTTTTATGCAACGGGACACACAACTGTACACCCATCTCCCCTGCCTCAATGGCAGACTGTTACATGTGCCACCTTTGACTTACACTCAACATCCCCTGCTTTGAATCGAGCAGACACCTTCCAAGGGCAGTGATATGAATCTTTTCCTCGTTGCAAGGTCCCAAGGGTCCAGATGCACTCCAGCACGTCTGTCCCTGGGAAACACTCGGCAGATGAGCAAGTCGAGAGATGGCTGAATGATAAACCTTGTGCATAAATCGAAACAGTGGCTAAGCTGTCACTAGGTCCAACAGGGACCCTCATTTTACAGAGGAAGGGTCACCTGAGTGTCCTGGCTGTAGCTCATAACACCACGTAGTCCCCCAGGGTCCGGCTCCAAGCCTGGCTCCTTCGTGTCCCTCCTGGGTTGGCTCTTCGTGGATGGCGCCCTCTGTTGTCCTCACGTGCTGGCTTCCTGTTACTTGATGTCTACGATTTCCCTAGAGGAGTGCTGGGGGTCTAGACTCAGGAAGTTTCAGGGTTAAAGAGCCAAGAATACCTGGAACAAAGGTGAATAAATGATCAAGACCACATTTTAGAGTAGTTTAAGATCTGTCTTGGGCTGGGAGTGCAGCTCTGCGGCAGGGCATCTGCCGAGCATCCATCCTCAGCCCTGGATGTGGGTGGACAGGCTCACTGCTCCTGCATGGTGCTTCTGGCCACCGCCAGCTCCTCTGGCCTCTCTGGGAAGAGGGCAGGGCTAGTGACAGCAGACAGTATTTCCCTGTGCAGCGTGAAGGCTGCCCATGGGGGACCAAGGCTCTGGATGTCCTAGGGGTCATGCAAGGCTTGGGTGACCAGGAGGAGTGTCCCTGACCTGTGGGTGCCCTGACCCTCTGTCTTTCCCCTGTGAAGCAGGAAAAGGCAGCCTTTGTCTCCAGCCTGTGTTGCAGAGTGGGATGCTGCCTTTAGGCAGGGCTGGCGGATGGGCCCGCCTGCAAGTCTGGGTCATCATTCCTCAGGTTGTCTGCCTTTATGTCCCTTCCAGCATCCTGTTTGCAGACATCGTGGGCTTCACGGGCTTGGCTTCGCAGTGCACGGCACAGGAGCTGGTGAAACTGCTCAACGAGCTCTTCGGCAAGTTTGACGAGTTAGCCACGGTAAGGCAGCCCTATCATGTGCTGGAGCGAGGCCATGCCAAGCCCTTGGCCTTGGCCTGCATTGTGCCAGAGCTGGGGTTAGGTGACCCCACTGCAGAAGCCCACAGAGCACCCCGGGGAGGACACATCCGTATCCTGGTGTCACTTTCTTCTGCTGCCCATGCACATATAGCGTGAACTGCCCTGCCCACTGCCACCCTGAGGCCCTGGTGAAGTTGCTGTGGACCTTCCTAGCGGTTTGGAGAGAAGCCCTTTCTCCTAGGGCACCCCATGGATACCCTGGGCTGGGTGCTGTGAACCCCATTTGGGAAGGGCTTCACCTTCTTCCTAAGGGGGACAGGTGGGGTGGTTCTTGGCTGATAGGGGGACACTTTCTGCCTGAGGTGATGGCTGAAGTTCCGATGGCCTTGACTGGAGTCCCTGAGTCTGTCCCTGGGGACTGAGTCCTCGCTTTTCCTGTCCAGTGCAGAGGAACTCTAGCGCCACGTGAAGTCTTTTCATGGGAACACATGGCTCCTCTTGGAGCTGAGTCCCAGTATGGGGACGCATGTGAAGGTCCCGCAGGAAGTCAGATGAATGCAGAAAGCATTTGCTGTGGTCTCCATCTAGCTGGTGGTCTACACCCACCTTAGCCACCATCCTTGTCACCAGTAGGGACCATATCTGTGACCTTTCGCCACTCATGGATGCTTGTTAGATTTATACTGGGTCTCGCATTTGTGTATATTTTTGAAGTGAACCCCAAGAGATGATGGAGAAGTGTCTGTCCTGATACGCAGGCTTCTCCTGCCATCTCCTGCGGGGGGACAGGGCCCCTGTCCTGGGTCAGAAGCCGATGGGGCTGGTCCCAGGAGGTGAAGAGAAGTGTAGTGAGCTCATGGGGCACCGTCCACCAAGGTAAGCCAAGCTCAGCATGCACCCAGGCTGAGGACGGCTGTTAGCTGCTTCGCCCCATCACCTGGCCTGGGCTTGAGGCCACCCTCTGTGTGACTAATGCTGCGGGCATGCTGGGCCTGCTGATGCCTCCTGAATCCATGCTGTCCTCAGACATGGGCACACCAGGACTCTTTCTGCTCTGCGAGGGCCTGATCACAGAGAAGCAGATGAGCAAGAACTTAATGAGAGTTTAAGTGTAGACCGTTGACATGCAAGGGAATGTGGAGCACTCACGCTGAGCTGAGGCCGCCTCCTTCTGGCTGATGCAGCAGCTCCTGTCCATCCCTCCAGTCCTCCACCCTGTTCACAGACCACAGGGTGAATATGCCGGGCACTAGGACGCAGGCCCACCACTTCGTTCCGCCTTGCACTGCTGGCTCAGAACGTGAATGTGCCCTGTGTTCACGAGGTGCTTCCTCTGTACTTGCTTTGTCGTTACTGTGGATATTCCCAAAAGGGACCCACGCAAGCTGGGCTGGGAGCCTGTGCTGGCCTTGCAAGGCTGCAGCACCTTGGAGTGGGTCCACTTCCGTTCACTGGGTCTGGGCCTTCAGGGAACCTGGCGTTAGCCTGACTCAAAGGACAGGACTCACTGGTATGCCTCAGGGTTGTAGCTCCAGTATCCTTCCTGTTCATGCCTGTCTCTCTGCCTATGAAGTAGGAGGGGGACGCTAGAAGGGCCTCTATGTCCCCTCCTGCTCCACACCCCCATTCTGTGAGCTGCTCAGCACCAGGCTTTTGTGAAGGCCTAGAGGGAGCTTGTGGGCCAGCTGCCTTCTCTGTTGGTGGGGTCCCAGGTACAAAGGTGGGGTGCTGCTGGTCAAGCGCAGAGTTCACTGGGGTGGAGAGGTGGCTGGATGCCAGGGAGCTGGCTGCTCAGCAGCAGCAGTTCTGAGTCTTGTAGTTTTACAAAAGCAGGAACTGGCTGAATAAGATGCTCAGCAGAGGAGGGTCCACGTGTAGATGAGACGTGACAAGCACTGACTAGAGAGGCGGCACTGTGCACTCTGGGGAGGCACTGCCCCGGTAGGCAGGAAGTAGGCGAGGAACTTGGGGCACCTCGTGGGGGATGGTGCTCCAGGTAGAGAGGATGGGGGCAAGGAAAGATGGCGCCTTTTGTGGACAAGGCTAGGGAAGAGAGGAGCATGGTGGCTTTTATAGGGGACAGTATTCTGGGTAGGAGGACAGAGTGGAGAAGGTAGGTTCTTTCCTGGGGGGTGGAGTTCCAGCCAGAGAGAAAGGGACTGAGGAGAAGGTGGACCCTTTCATGGGGGGCAGTGGTTGGCTCCAGGGTTGGCAATTAGGGCAGGCAGGCCTTGTCGCCACCCTCTGTCTCTTCCCTGATCCTGGATGCCACCTTACTTCAAGCCTAAGTCCTTCACTGCAAAGTTGTCATGTCTGAGAACATCTCGGCCACCTCCACCATGACACCATTAGCCACCACACCAAATCACTAACAGCTGGTTGTTTCTAATACCTCATTTACCCTTCTAAACATGGCTGGTTCATTCCAGTCAGGAGACAAATGGGGTGGACACACGTCTCAGCTTTTCTTGTGGGATTTTATGTTATAGAGTGAGTGAGGCCGAGAGAGGCCAATGCCACTGAATGAGTTCATTACTCACAGTCCCTAGATCACACAGGAAGCACTGAGGTCAGCCCTTGAGCAGAAGGATTGAGAGCAAGTGTGGCCTTAGGTCTTCTTTATGCCTTGTGGGGTGGGGGAAGGCAGGGCAGGGTAAGCAGAGCTTACCTCAGGCTTAGGCTTGGCTGGCTTGAATAACGTGTGAGGGGTCTGAGGCTGTGGTGCGACCCGGTGCCTGGCCCTGGGGGTATGGGCTTGGCATGTGAGGTAGGTTACGGGGAGGCTGCTGGAGTGTCCATTGGGCGTGGTTGGCTTGGGTGTGGAAGGCAAGGTCTCAGGGAGCTGCTCGCTGACTCTCCAGATTTGCTGGACCTGGGAGGGCAGCTTCCTCAGGCAGCCAGCTCTCTCGAGTTCTCAGGCCGTCTGAAGATACAGAAAATAGAGAAAAAAAGAATTGAGAAATAGCAAATTTTCTCTTTCCTTCTAAAGTTCCAGTGATTCTCCTCTATGAAGTGAGGTGATCTTAGATCCACAGGAGAAAGCATACCCATTTATGCACAAGCATAAACATGGGGTGGGGTTATAAACAGCAGTACTCACAGGACAGCCCAGAAGGCTGAAGCCCAGACAGCATCTTTTAGAATTGGGGCACAGTGTAGGGTCCTCCTGTTTCTCAGGATTCTACATCTTAGGGCTGGCATCTTCGGGTTGCTCTGAAGTCGGCAGCAACTTCTTGCCTCTTTACTCTTTGCTTCCTCTTAGGTGTTTAGGCTGGTGGGTTTTAATTCCATCATTTCTGCATGGAATTAAGCCCTGTGAGGGCCCCAGCCTTCTCAGCACCCTGTGATCTACTGGGTCCTGGAGGTGCCGGCTGCGCTGGTGTGGGGGGCATCTGTTATCCTGGATCTGGGCCCCTGTGGCTCTTCACCAGGAAGGGCCTGTCGCCACCCTCAGGTCATACCTGGGAGCCAAGCATGAGACGCCCACTCCCCTGCTGGCATTGCCCTGGCAGTCTTGACACTTCCATGACTGGGAAGGAGGGGACAGCCAAGGTCCCAAGGGTAGACCCCCTCTTGCCCGTCCCACCCTCTTCCTTCTCTTCTCTCTTCTTCCTGGCGGGACACAGAGCCACAAGGCCACCACCATTGTTCCTGCCTGTGCTTCCCACAGTGACTTGGCACCAGCTTTCTGTGTTGATGAAGAAGAGTCCAAAAGTCAGAATCATCAGAAATCATCAAAACTTTTCTCATCTCTTAAACTTGCTGACAAAATCCAGAACCTTTGAAATGAAAGACAAAACCAAGCACTGTCCCCAGTATTTGTTCTGGATTGTGTCCCCTGAGGTCAGCGTGGTGGAGGACAGGCAGGAAGCAGAGGCCTAGAAGGCCCCACAGGGCTCTGAGCTCTGCATCTCAGGCAGTTTCTGAAGACTCATGTGTGTGACATTGCAGGACCTGGAGTTGTGCACACAGTGCATGTGTGTGTGTGTGTGCATGCATGTGTGCGTGTGCACACTGGGTTCCAGGTGAGGACTACTGTTGTAGGACAGTTGAGTGGACACTTTCAGCAGAAGGCAAATGGTCCTCCTCAGTTCCGGGTGGCTTTGCCCCAGATCCCTGAGGGCTCTTTGCATTCCTTGGTCGCACTGAGCAGCAGGGGTCATCTTGCAGGTCCTGTGGGCATCTTTGTCTTTAGCCACAGCCTATGTAGATGCCTCCTTCTCTGGGCAGCTCTGTGGGAGTTGTCATCAAAAGTGACACCCTTGCCAGCCCACAGTGACTTTCCTTTTCTGTGGTGGAATCACCTGTGGGGGAGGCAGGGTGGAAGGGGCAAGCCTGGGGCCATCTGTGCAGCTTGCAGCATCTTTCTTGGGCGCTCAGCAGGGCTGAGCTCGCTCAGGTTCCTGGTTCCTGCAGCACAGGGGCTGGGGTGGCCCAGGACAGCAACAGGGGACAACCGCCAGCCCAGGACCCGGAGCTCCACCATGCCTAGTCCTGGGGTGGGGCTTGCCATCCGGACACCTTGTCCACCCCGGCTCAGCCTGGCACTTGCTACCTTGCTGCCTTTGAGAAAATCAGCTGGGGCAGGGGACAGATGAACAGAGTGAAGTAAGAGCCCCGGATGTGTTCTCAAAGCAGGGCCCCGGGAGGTGTGTGGCTCGGTGAGGCCACCCTGAGGCCTTCAGGGCTGTTCCTCGTCCAACAGTGTGATTAGGAAGCCATGTCCTTTGTGGCATCCGTGACCACAGTCCAGCACGAAGGGTCAAATCCCGCCGTGGAGCCAAGTATCAAGCTGTGTGCTCCAAAAGCAGCTGTCAGATGTGTAGGGTGGAGAGCGAGGCCTTGCATGCCTGCATGTTACGGGGACCTCATAATTTCCCTAAAATGTTATTTAAGCTAACATGCAGATAGGTTTCCTGCTGTCTTTAAATGCATTCACGTGTGTTTAAAACACACACAGGTTCTAACCGGTAAATGTCGACGGCTGTAAGACAGAAAGGGGTCCTTCTGTGGGGATGCTTTAGAACTCCTGTTTTATTCTTTTTTTTTTTTTTGTATTTAGGACAGGGTGTACAGGGTCTCACTACTAGATGAGACTCATAATGACTCTCCTGTTTACAGCCTCCCAAGGGCTGGGATTACAGGCCTGCACCACCGCGCCCAGTCTCAGTTGCTGTCTCAGCATGCCCCGGGGGCTTGCATCTGCCTAAACAGGCGCTTTAATCCACTGAGCTATGTGGCTGCCCCAGAACTCCTGTTTTAACGCTCTCCTCAAAATATAAACTGGTCACGTGTCTGGTAGCATGGTGCTTCCCTCTGTCTTGATCTTTGTTTCCCACCCGGCTTCTCTGGGGCAGTCTCGTGCTTTCTAAAAGGCTCCTATGGCCCTCTGTGCTGGTGGCCAAGAGGGACACTGTGACAATTCAGTGGGAGGGAGCAGAGGCCCCAAGAAATGCCATTACCATGTAAGAATCCCTAATCAGAAGATCCCAAATCCCAAAGGCTCTGAATTCTGAAACTGAGTACCACATCAACACTCAAAATCTGGTGGATTTTAAAGCTAATTTTAGGTTTCTGATTAAAGGTGCTCCACCAGTGACATCTATGCAAGTGTTCCCAAATCACTCTGACACATGCATAGCCCCAAGCAGTTCAGGGAAAGGAGACCCAGCCTGCGTCCTTCATATCTTCGTATCTAAGAGGGCACGGACATTCAGTAACAGGAAGTGTCTTTTACAAGTGTGTGGGGGAAGGGGGATGGCAGCACGTGCTTTGGGAGCAGCTGGTGGCCTGGCCTCTTGTGGTGCCCATGGTCCTCTGTGGTGGTGGTTGGGGACACTGGGAGAATTTGGTGGGTCAGGGAAGATTCCCTGCAGAGGTGGCCATGCCCTTGTACCACCTTATACCTGGGTGGACATGAAAGGATTTGTAGAGTCAGGGAGACTGGGACGGGTAGACACCTCAAGAGGAAAGGGGCTGTGGGTGAGGAGAAGTGAGGGGCCAGCACATGAGCCTGGTCCCAGCTGCTGGCGGTGACTGTGTCCCTAGGAGCACCCAGGACAGCAACATGTCCCAGTGCTTGATGGTCACCGTGTTATACGTGCTGAGCAGGCAGAGCTGACTGTGTCCTTTGCCCCTGAAGGAGAACCACTGTCGCCGCATCAAGATCCTCGGGGACTGCTACTACTGCGTGTCCGGCCTCACCCAGCCCAAGACCGACCATGCCCACTGCTGCGTGGAGATGGGGCTTGACATGATCGACACCATCACGTAAGCGGCATGCTGTCTGTGGGTCTGCCGGTGGCTGGGCCTCTTCGTGAAGGCGCTGGGTCCCGTGGGTCCCCTGCTTTGGGAGGTGACGCTTCGGTGACCTCTTCTTACATCTTGTTGGGATGTATGTCTGTGCGTTGTCGCACGTGCCTGAGATGTGCATAAAGAAGTGAGCGGGGGGCAAAAGGAACCCCTCTCCACTGTTGGTGGGAGTGCAGACTGGTGCGACCACTGTGGGAATCAGTTAGGAGATTCCTCAGAAAATTAGGGTCAGAGGTCCCATTCGACCCAGCTGTTCCCCTCCTGGGTATTTTCCAGAAGAACCGAAAACATCCTATCACAGCGATATAGGTGCACCCATGTTCATAGCCGTGTAATGTGTCGTAGCTAAATCTTGGAAACAACCCAAATGCCCATTGACTGAGGAATGGACTAAAAAAGATGTGATATTTTTATACAATGGAGTATTACTCAGCTATAAAGAAAGACGAGCTGGAGGCTTCTATAGGTAAATGGACACAGCTAGAGACCACACTCATAAGTGAAAGAAACCAGAGCCGCACGTGTAAATATCCTATTATCTCCTTAGTGTAAGAACCTGAATGAGTAAATAAAATCTGAAAGGCATGATAGATACTGTGAAAAGGGAAGAGTCTGTGAAAAGGGAAGAGACAACTGGGACGAGGGAAAGGGGAAAAGAAAGAATGAAGGGAAAAGGACATGTTTATGTATGCACCCAGGAGAGCTTAGATAATTGCACTGTTGGTGTCTGCTAGTCTATTGAAAGGCAGTTAATGCTTGATTTTCTTCCTTTTTATTTTTTTATAACTTTTTTGATCAATTTGGCATGCTTATATCTGGTAATCTGAACAACTACTGTGAAGACAATATTATGCACTGTAACAACCATTGTTGAATTCCTGTTATTTTGATTAGTGAAATTCTTTATTGCTTCTAATGTTTTTATTTTTTAATTTTTACCATTTTTTATTCTGTTAAAAAAAAAAGTGGAATGGGCCATTGAAAGAGTTGCCCTGAATCCGGCTGGCTCTGCTTCCCGAGACAGTGCGGGAGGCTTGTCGTCTGCCTGGCGGGGGGCTGCTTCTGGCGCTGTCTGGGAGCCAGGGCTGGGATCTGGGCTGGAGGGCCTTGATGGCCCGGGGTCTGGCAGGCAGGGCCTTTATTGCCCAGCTGCCGTCCCTGCCCCTGGGGTGCGGGTGTCTGGCTTCTGGCCTCTGTCCTGCCAGCAGTGCCTGCACCCCGCCTGCTTGCTGCAGCGCACACGGCGCAGCACTGCAGTGCTGAGTGTGGGGTCAGGCTTCCGGAAAGATATCGCAGGATGGGGCCTCCACGCCTCGCCCTGAGCACACAACTGGGAGACTGGCCTAACACCCGGGGCCCCGCCCGGTCCTTGCTGGGCGCCCTTGACTCAGAGCTGGGGTGTCTGTCGTGAAGCTGACTCTCCCATTTGATAGATGGAGAAATGGAGTCCCCAGACAGTGGGACTTGCTAGGGTCACACAGCTCTTCAGAGGCAAGAACCAGCTCAGGAGGCAAACTCAAGGAAACTTCCCAACCCCTCTTCCTTCCTGCTGTGGGCAGGAGCCATCTGCTAGGGCCAGTGGGGTGGGGGCCTGCACTCTGGGGTCTCCCAGTGATGTTCAGGTCTCAGGAACAGAGTTCAGCCTCTCGGTGACAGGAGGCCCCGTCTGAGGCACCCAGAGCGCCATCCATGGGTGCTGGGTTTCATTCTGCAAGCTGTGTGCATGTGGGACTCCGGGGTGGAGAGTGCAGGGGTGGAGGCCAACTGAGGCCCGAGTGACCTCTGCCCTGTGCCTCGCTCCCTGTGACATCCGTGCCCACCCCTTTCCTGCCCAGCCCGCTTCCCTCCGACAGCTGACCCAGAACCCCTCTTTTCCTGAGTGGGCCAGAAACTTCTGATTCCCAGGAAGTAGATGGGTCTGCGGATTCCTAGCTTCCATTTCCCCTGAATCCTTCCTTTTGGTCACTGTAAAATGAACAGGGCTTTGCATCTCTGAGTGGTTGCGAGGCCTAAGTAGGTTCTCAGCTGAATGGGCCTGCGTGGGAGGAAGGAAGCAGCTCCCAGGCAGCAGGAGCAGCCTGGAGGAGGAAGGGCCTCTTCCCTGTGGGAATCCCTCTGGAGCACACCAGTCCTGCACAGCTTGGGGGTGGGGCCACATCTATCTGCTTTGGGGCGCCTCAGCTGGCGTGGGCGGCAGGAACTTCCCCGTCTTGCTAAAGGGATTAGTCAAACCTGGTCTCGATCATGGTCTCAGTATTTCTTGTTAGTTATCCTGAATTACACTAGCAGGAAGTGGCAGGCCATGTGCTTTTCCTCCTGAGCCAGCGGGCAGCGTGGTGGTCAGCAGATCGCAGTGGCCCCTCAGGCTCAAGTGCTTAGTTCTGAGAGAAGGGACACCCATGGGCCATGTTCCCCAGCCCCTGGTCTGTCACCAACAGCTCCTTTCTTTTTCTCAAGCTGGCTCGTGCATGAGAGCCATGGAGAATGCCTTACTTTCTCAGCCAAGAGTCAGTTCTCAGCTTCATGTTGCTGTGACAACATGCCTGAACAAAGTGGCTGAAAGGAGGAGCGCTTGCTTTTGGCTTAGGGTTTCCGAGGTTGCAGTCCATGGACTGCTGGCTCCATGGCGCTTGGGCCTGTGACAAGGCAGGAAGGTCATGGTGGAAGGAAGAGGAAGGGCTAGGGATGAGCCATAGTGCCCAGAGCCATTCCCCACGACCCACTCCCTTCGTCTAGACCCGGTCTCCTAGGTGGACCATCACCTTCTGGTGATGCCATCAGTTATGACGAGAGGTTAGGCCTCGTGATGAAGTTGGTGGCCTCATGATTTGAGCCCCTTCTAAAGCCCCACCTCTGAGCCCATTGGCCTTTTAGGACTCCGTTTAGCTCCACAACAGGAAGTGACGTGGGGCATTGTTGCATCTCATTATTGGATCCTGGTTTTCATAGACCTGTGGATAAGCTCAGGGATCGACTTCCTGTGGGATGGAGGGTACTGGTGCACACTTGGGCCTGTGTCTACCACGTCTGGTTTCTCCTACCCCTTTAGGGGATCTGGAGACTCTGAGGTTGCACATTTCAAGCTGAGAACTTGTGTTTTTACAGATGGATGAACTAAGGCCAGGAGAGGAAGTGAGGAACTGCGGAGCCCGAGCTGGGGCGTGGGTTTGAACACATGGCTGCGAAAGCATTTGCTCCATTTTTCCGCCACTCTGGGGCAGAGCTGGAGGCTACTGTGCCTAGTCCTGCCTACAGGACAGGGAATCGTCCTCTAGAGGAGCCGCTGTTCCCTTGCCACTGCTGTTGCCACACACTTTGAGCGATGGGTCAGAGAGTAAGCCTGGTAGACGTTTGTTGAACAAACGAACACAACCAGACGTGTCTGTGCTCTCATTTGGAGCTGCTTGCAGCCGTGATTGGGCTTCGGGCCTGGCAGGAGCCTTCATGCCAAGGGCTGCTGAGGCCCTGACCCTCGGGGCCAGCTGCCTCCTCGTGGCTGTGCTGTTGGTGTCCAGCACCAGCAGCTGTAAGGAGGAGAAGTTTATTGTGACTCAGTTCCAGAGGGTTCAGTCTGTGCTGGGAAGTTGGGTGCAAGGCCCAAGCACTGCAGGGGCTGGGCTTGTTGGGGGAAAGCTGCTCTGGGGGATGTGGCAGCCAGAAATGGAGTGAAGGCAGCTGGGAGCGGGGGCAGGGAGAGCCCGGTGGAGAAGTGCGCCCTTGTAGACCGATCTGCAGTGACCCACTCCAACCTGGCTGTGTCTCCTGACAGCACCCCTACGGATAAACCCCTGGAAGAGCACAGGCTCCCATAATCCAGCTACCTTCCCAAAGCCCTACCTCCTGTGCATGGGCCTTTTGGGGGACATTCTAGATGGAAGCTGTGACAGCTGGAGAGCATAAATGAGAAAGAAAAATAGGACCAAAAAAGCCAAAAGGGCTGTTGAAATTTTGGTTCTTTGGAAGTGAAGTTGGAGGTTCCACTGGAATTAGGCAAATTCTACTTGGATGCTCCAGCAGAAATGGGGCCAGGAGGAGCCACCACAGAGACAGCTCTGGACGCTGGGGCTTGGGAAGTGGTTGTCCAGCTTGCTGCAGGCTAGATGGTGTCAGCTGCTCCACCTTGGTGACAGAACCTACTGGAGGGACTGAAGAAAGGAGCGTCGTCGAGTGCGCAGGGGACCTGGAGGGGCTGGCTGGGACCGTGAGAAGGCTGGTGTAGGGGCGTGAAGTGTCTCGGGGCAGAGGCGGTGTGAGTCCCAGCAGTTCTCCTGCTGTTGCTACCCACTTGTGACTGACTGCAGAAGTTTAAATTCTTGAAATGTCCTAAAATGCCGTGGGCAGGTTCCTTCTCTATATTTTCGTCATGCATTTCTTCCGTGCATTAAAAAGTGTGCAGGTGTGTGTGTGTGTGTGTGTGTGTGTGTGTGGCACTGAGAAATGAATACAGGGTCTTCACACTGAGCTGCATCTCCAGCTGTGTATTTCTTTTAGTTTGGGGCAGGGTCTTGCCAAGCCCCTAAGTTGCCCAAGCTGCCCTTGAACGTGTAGTTCTCCTGCCTCAGCCTCCCAGACTGTTGGGATTACAGATGTGCGGCCATGTCTTTCTTCCAAATATTGTAGCTTTAGAATTTTGTTTCAGTTTCTCTTATTGGAGATTGACAAACACTCGAGGCAGGATTATGTTAAAATTTTAAAATATTGTTTCTAAAAAAAAGTATAAAAATGAATAGGTATTAAAGATATCAGTATTCTAACCTGCAAGTGGCTACTTTATAAACCTATGGAACACTTCCTTCTGAGGTTCCTGAAGGTGAGCTTGCTGCAGGGCTTCCAGGACTGAGTTGGAGCTGTCTGGAGCCACCCTCCTGCTGTCCTCCAGTAGCAGGCAGCAGGCAGCTGTCCTGAGGTGGCTGCTGTGTCCCCTGCAGGCTGGGGAGTTCAGGTTGGTGGTGAGCCAGGCCTGGCTTCTGATGTGGAGCCACAACCGGGCACCCACAGTATTTGGTGCAGGCTGAGGGGAGAGCGGGGTGCCGGCTAAGGATACAGTGAGGGCTGAGGCATTTTGCTGTCACTGTCATCTGCCTGGCAGTGACAGAAGCAAGGAGTTGGCTGTCCTTGGTTCTGGCCTTAGTATTTTTCACTCTAGAAGGAGCCAGCTGGGGATGGTGACTCCTTATGCACTGGGATAGAGTTTAAATGGTTTCAGGGGTTTTCAGGGCCAACGTAGCCAGAGCCTGTTCATATCTAGGGAAACTGAGGCTCCGGTAGCTGTAGCAACTAGACTAGGGTGGGTTCCCCAGTTCTCAGTTCCCTCTGCTCTGCTTTGCCTCTGTGTGCCCCAGCACCCCTTCCCTTGGGGGCAAGGCTTGGGCAGGGTGTGGGGTCCCTTTAGCATCTTCTCTGTGTTGTGGGGCCTCAGGAGGAGACATGGAGGGGCCCATGGAGACAGCGTGGACACTGGGAGATGGCTGGGCAGCCAGAGAGGCTGCTGTCCACCGGCCAGGCTAGGAGACCTCTCGGTGTCTGTCCCATCCCAACAGCACTCAGGCCAAGAGCAGCTGGAGCTAAACCCACAGCTCCACGCTGCTCTATGGGGCCATCGAGGCAGCCCCCACCATGCCGCACACTTGTCTTGTAGGTCCGTGGCTGAGGCCACTGAGGTCGATCTGAATATGCGTGTGGGGCTGCACACCGGCAGGGTCCTTTGTGGTGTCCTGGGCCTGCGCAAGTGGCAGTACGATGTGTGGTCCAACGACGTGACCCTGGCCAATGTCATGGAGGCTGCTGGCCTGCCAGGGTAAGCTGGGGACTGGGTGGGCATGGCTGTGTGCTCTTGCCCTGAGGCACCTATGTGGGTTCTAATTGGACCCTTGCCAAGGAGCCTCAGAGGATCCTGTTCTGTCTCTACCACACCTGTCACTCACTGTGCAGCCCTGTGGCTAGGGGTCCCACCCACTCCACTGACACTTTCCTGGGATCCTGCAGAGACCATTGTGGGCCAGGAAGACCCAGCACTCATGGGGACTTCTGCCTGGACATAGGACGGGGTAGCATTCCTCCCCATTTGGTTCCCTTTCCTCACGTGGAAAGTGCTGGACTGCAGAGCCCAGGACACTAGCCATTCCCCCTGCCTCTCTCTGTCCTCTTAGCCCCCTGAGGACCAGAAGGCAGCCACTGCCAGAGGCTGCTGCTGTCCACCCAGGCCCTGTTCCCCTTACTGGAGCCCAGGACGTTTGGAGCTCCCCTCGCTGCCCCGAGGCCCGTCACCCCTTAGCTTCATCCTTAGCCAGCAGAGTCAGCCTTGAACTCGACGCTTCTGCTGTGGGTTGGTGGCTTGGAAAGTGGAGAGTTGCTTTTTGTCCCCAAACTCACATGTGTGTCAAGCTGGTCAAGGAGCAGAGGCTGTGCGGGGGTCTTCTGTTTTTAGGGTCTGGCCATTTACCCTGGGTGGGGCTCTGGCTGCTGTGCTGCCAACCAGGGCCTCTTCCTCCCCGCTCCCCTCTTTTTCTTTCCTCATCTTCCCTGTCATGTCCTCCGGTGCTTTTTTTTTCTTTCCCCTCTCCTCCCTCTGACCTGTCTTCCTCCCTGGCCTCAGCTGTCCCTTGCCTGTCTTCCTGTCCTCTCCCACTTGCCCACCTGTCTGCCAGGGGCCTCCCTCTCCTTTCCAGTTGTGCGGGTATGTGTGCGACCCTGAGCCCACGGTCCTGCATGGCGGGGCCTGAAGCCTGCACATCGCTGTGTTCTTTTCCCGTAGGAAGGTTCACATCACAAAGACGACGCTCGCCTGCTTGAACGGGGACTATGAGGTGGAGCCAGGCCGTGGTCATGAGAGGAACAGCTTCCTGAAGGCGCACAACATCGAGACCTTCTTTATTGTGCCGTCCCATCGGCGAAAGGTGGGCTCCTGGCGCCTCTCCTCCCACTGCTCCCCAGGCAGCCTCTCCCCCCTCCTCCCAGTGCTGCTTCTCCAGCTATGGACTTGCTGGGAAGGGGAGGGGAGGGGAGGGCTTTCCGACTCTGGGATTTACTCTGCTTCTCGTGAGTGGGAGGAGAAGCCAGGCAGAGAGAGCAAGGGGTGAGAGCCCACCAGAGATCTGTCTTGGGCCGGGCCACCCTCCTCCTCCTCCTGCCTCTCTGGGTCTTCACTGCCTCCCCAAGCAGGAGCCAGAGCTGGGGGGCTCTGAGAACAGAGGACTGCTGGGTGCCCAGGGGTTGGGGCCATCCCTTGTGGGCGCTCAAGATCACCCAGCCCAGAGACAATGATCTGGTCATGATGGAGGGTGACAGATGTACTCCCAGGGCTCATGGGAGGGTGCAGATCTCAGGTGAGTGGGTGGGCTCTGTTGAGATAGCCCCTGTCCTACACCTCTGGAGGGCCTCTGTGTACACATAGCTCGCATGACTGGTTCTCCCCAAAGTCCCTCCTCCTGAGCAGCTATGTCAAAGGCTCTTTAGAAGCCACGTGTTCATGGGCGTGGGCCCCGAGCAGCTTCCTTTGACCTGTGCCATCTCCCACTGGGGGAGATTCTGAGGTGGTGGGGCTGAGCAGGGGCGGCATCCCTGCTGCTCCAGGCAGGCGGCATGGCTCAGGACTCCAAGTCAGGAGCCCACACCCTCTAGGGCCTATGGTTGCCTGTGACTTTGGTTGGCACCAGAGGACAAGCCAGCCCTGTGAGCGGATGTCACATGAGTCCTCACTGTTGCCCCACTGCCTCCCAGCTGGGTTCCTTGTAGTCCCTGCAAATTCTACAAGCCTGTTACCACAGCTCCATTTAATGACTGTCAGTTTTCATGTCCCTGGGGCAAAATACCTGAGCCCAGTAACCTGAAGATAAGTTTATTTTGGCTGTGGTTATGGTTGATTCAGTCCCTGAATCAACAGCTTTAAGCAGAGGTGTCATCACTGAGGGGCTTTCCCAGTGGAGGAAAGCTGCTCACATAGTGGTGACCAGGAAGCAGAGCAAAAGGAGGACAGGGACAGGAATGCATTTTCCAGGTCATGACCCTGTGACCCACTTCTAGGCAGACCTACCCCCAGAAGCTACTGAACTCTTCTGTGGGGAATCTCCTCATGCGTCCAGAGCCCCTGTGACCCAGTCACCTTGCAAACCCACAAGACTGATTTGAACTATGACATTCTTCCCGTGACTCCTCTAAAAGATTCATCTCGTTATACAAAATGTTTTGAGTCCATTTGTAAGTGTTGCCCAAGTCTTGGCAGTTTCAGCTTTGGTAAAAATCCCAAATGCGCAAGGTAAAAACGTATCTGTGAGCACCTGCAAATATACAAAAGAAAGTTAAATTCTTCCAACATAAAGTGGCCCAACAGGGTTAACTTTCCCTTTCCAAAAGGGAAAGATAGAGGTGACAGAAAGGAATGAGGCCAAAGCAAGACAAAAACCCAGCAGGGAAAACACTAAATTCTGGAGCTCCATGTCCAGCCCCTGGGGCAGGTTGTGGTAAGTTGTGAGCTCCAAAGGGCTGGGCAGCCCTATCCCTGTAGTGTGGCTGGCTATAGCCCATGTAACATCTCTCTTGAGGTGGCTTTGCTTATTACCTGTGGCTTTCCTCAGAACACCGTCCATTCTGCTGGATTTTCCAACTTCCTAGAGACTGCCCTATTTTCAGCTTCACTCTAACATCTTCACCCACCACCCTTGTGAGGGCATGCTGCCCAGCCTCCCAGACTTTCTTCAGAAATCCGGGTGGAAACCTCTGTGACCTCACACCCCTTGCATTCTACATGCCTGAAAAACCATGCGGATGCCATGAAGTTCTTCACCGGTGGGAGCAGCAGCCAGGCCCCCTTTACCGGGACTGCAGCGGTCTCTCAGTGCCTGGATGTCTGAGCACTGTGAAATGAGTCTGAGGAAACCACCTCCTTACACGGCCATTCTCCTGCCAGGAGTCCAGGGCCGTTCCTCTGAAATGAAAGCTTTATACTCTTGCATCTTTAAACTTGCAAAGGTTGGGTTCTTGATGACTCCTGAGATAACTTCAAGCCAGGATACCTTTTTTTTTTTTTTTTTTTTTCAGGATACCTTTCTGTCTTGATGCAAAGTGCCTGGCTTCTTCATCTTTTCAGTAATCATGCTCTTTGTTCCAACTTTGCAGACACTTTTTTTTGGGCAAACTTGGAAATATTTAATATCTTTTGGCTCTGCCTTTTGCTCCTTATTTTCACCATATATTTGGCTAGAAGCAGCCAGAAGTACCCATACCACAACCTGAACATTGAGCTATCTTGGAATTTCTTCTATCATATCAATTAATCCCTTAATCTCAGTCTCTTGGAAAGTCTAAGGACATCAGCTAAATAAGGAGTTTTTTTTTCTGCCAGTGTGTTACGCACATGGCCTCCAGTTCAGCTAACACTGGAGTCCTTATTCCCCATGGGATCCTCCTGAACCTGGCTTTTACTGTTCATGTTCTTAACAGCATTCTTGTCTTCTAAGGTGTGGCCAGAGTCACCCATTAAGCTGTTTACAACCTTCTAGGCCTTTCTAGCAGGTGTCTTTGAACTTTTCCAAACTCCTCCCACAAGCTAGTTCCAGAGGTTTCTAAGCCACATGGCTAGGTACAGATGCAGCAATGACTCCACTTCTCTGGGTTAGGCACCCACAGGAGGAGAGGTTTATTTTGACTCACAGTTTCATCCATGGTCAGCTGGCTCCACATTAGAAGAGGTGGAAGGTCCAGGCAAATGACAGTTGGCCAATCTTCCTGTGGTACCCAGGAAGCAGAGAGTCAGGGGAAGATCCCGGATTAAATATAATGCAAAGAATATATCTTTCCAGGCCATGCCCTTGATCACCTACCTCCTCCGAGCAGGACTTGCTCTTGGTAGCACATTCGGCTATGAGTCCACGGATGAATGTGGTACCCCACTGTCCATTCACTTTCCATACATGAGACTTTGGGGGGGGGGCATTTTAGAGCTAAAGCATAGCAATGGCTCAAAATCCTGAAGTACTCAGAAGCTGATAAAATCTGGGGGTTCCACATTTCCGTTGCATATTTCCAGCCAAAACCCTGAGCATCCTGGCTGTACCCTGAACTCACACCCCACACACCATTCCCATTTCTGTCTAATTCGATCTCAAGGTTTTCTCGGATTCCCTGAAGTGACATGACCCCACCATGAACATCAAAGAGGAGCTAGACTATGACCAGGTAGTGTCTTGTGGAACTAAAACACAGACCTACAAGGAGAATCATGTTCTAGAGTTATGCATGGGGTGGTAAGCAGCTATGGGTGATCCCAGGGGATGGGGGGGAGAGAGAGACAGAGAGAGACAGAGACAGACAGACAGAGAGATGGAGAGGCAGAGAGACAGAGACAGAGAGACAAAGAGATTGAGATTGAGGTTAGAAGAAGCAGGGAGGGCTGGGGAGATAGCTCAGTAGAATAAGCGCTTACCTGGCAAGCACAAGGGCCTGAGTTCAATCCCTGGTTCCGCCAAAAAAAAAAAAAAAAAAAAAGAGGCAAGGAGCCATTTTCACTGATGAAAAGCTGCCCAACTTCAACTCCTGAGGTTGAAACTCAGACCACAAAATAGCCAGCTTGTGACTGGAGTAACATTTTCATCCAAATACAAGATCTGAGACAGAAAGGTCAAAGGTATGCCTAGTGCTCCAGTGTCTGAGCTCTTCCCTGGTTTACTCCACCCAGGGGCTGCTGCTACCAGTGAAAATATCTTTGACATAACCCATTAAAGATAGAGCCTCCACTTCCTTGCCTTTTCAGTGTCTGCTGTTCCGGGGCACTGACTTTGCCCTGGATTGATGTAGGATGTCCAGTTGTTGGGGGCCAGAACCCAGTCAGGACACAATGGGTAGGCATGGGGGAGATTACTGACTCCCTGTGCTGTATGCCCAGTGGTGACTCTGACCTGGGCCCCCAGGATGAAGCAGTCAACGTGAGGGGGTCCAACCCTTGGGTGGGGTTGGGTGGGGTTTCCATCTGACTTGAATGCCTGGTGAGTGGGACTGTACTGAAGAGAATGCCAGGCCAATAGGTCAGGTCAGTTCAAGATGGGCCACTGCTTCCCTGAAGGGTGAATGTGGGAGGAGTTGATGGGAGGGCCCAGGTGGGAGGTGGGGCTGGTCTCTTAGTGTAGCTGGGGTCACCTGAGGAACATGAGGGGAGCAGTTCAGTCTTCAGGGGACACCTTGACCGGCTACTTGCAATGGTTGGCTAAGGAAGAAAGAATGGGAAGGGGGTCACAGGTTTAGAGAGGCCCAGGTAGGTAGGTCATAAAGGACCCACATGTCCTGGATGGCACCCCAGCCTGAACCACGCTGACAGTGGGTCCTATGGATGGAGGGCAAGGTGGGCTGTGAGGTCAGGACAGGCAGCTCACACCGGTGACAGGGGAGGTAGTAGAATGCTGGGAAACCACAAGTGTTCTGGCATTTCTGATGTTGGGACTTTTGCTCCTTTCTATAGGGGACAGTGGGCATGAAGGTAGGGAGTGGTCAGGTGGGATGGGCCAAGACATGGCATTCCTGGAGAGGAGAGGGGTCAGAGTTGAGTTGCTGGGGCGCGGAGCTTTGTGTTCACTTGAGAACCAGGGGCAGCCAGCAGGAGCCATAATGACGTGTTGGTCCTGGACCTTGCTCAGCATCCCACTTTGCTACGTCTCAGTGGTCTCTCCTCTGTCTCTCTGTCCTTGTCTGTGGAACAGGACCTGCTGGGACCTAACCGGTAACAGAAGGGGTGAGGTGACCCTTACTCCAAACCCTAGTGATCTACTGTCATGGATCCCAAACCATCCCTCCACACTGGCCGAGATTTGATGCAGCACTTGGTCTCAGAGCTGGGTGATTTGAAAATGGATCTTCTGGAACCTCGTTATTTTATTCTGCTGCACTCCCAGTGGGCTCCCAATGCCCAGTGTGAGCAGGTCCCGGTGGCCCGGGTGCTGTCACCAGAGGTGCCCCACTGATAGTGTTTCCCTTGTCCTCTGTGTTTGGACAGATTTTCCCTGGGCTGATCCTCTCGGACATCAAGCCGGCCAAGAGGATGCGCTTCAAGACCGTGTGCTACTTGCTGGTGCAGCTCATGCACTGCCGGAAGATGTTCAAGGCCGAGATCCCCTTCTCCAACGTCATGACTTGTGAGGATGATGACAAGGTAGGGACAGCAGGTGTTATCCCCACCCTTCCAGGACAGCCCTATGTGTTGCGTTCAGTTAGTCCTCACCCGGACGTGGCTGTCACTGTCTCTCCCACACAGAATTTACTATGGCTTTGTCACTTTTTCCTCCATTGTAGTCTGTGTTCATCCAGTTTCAAGCCACCTTTCCTTGTGTACTCACCAAGTCATTGGGATAGTCCTTCAGGTCTGGTGGCCCGGCTGTTTGGACCTCGGGCTGGCTGTCCTCCGAGGCTGGTCCTTCCTGCCCTTAGGCCCACTCTGTCCATCACATGGACTTATCTCTTGTGTCACAAGCACTCCTCTTCTGGGTCCTTTCCCTCCTCTGATGGATCCTGAGCTCTGGTACCTGACCATGGAAAGGACTCAGGGGATGTGGGGTGCTTGTGTGCGTGCAGGGTCTTTCCAGCCTGCTGGAAGCCAGGGCTTTGATGCCTGGGCTGCTGGATCTGTCTGTGGAAGCTGTCATACCGCAGTACCACTGCCTGGGAGGTGGCGTAAGCCAGACGGGCATCCTGCACAGAGTTGGCGGGTGGAGTCCAAGGTCTCGGCGTGGTAGGGGTGGCCTTGTGGGGCCTCTTCTTGGCTGGAAGCTACTGGCTTCTCGCTATGTCCACACAGGGCTAGGTCAAAAGGCTTGGGGTCTCTACCTGTCCTTCTAGGGGCCCAAGTCCTATCTTGGCTGATCTCAGCCCAGTCACCTCCTAAGCCCTCGCTTCCTGCTCACTGCACCTTGGTGAGCAGAATTCCTCTGCGTAGATTCTGGGGGGGGGCATGAATGCCCTGGGCACTGATTGGCCGTGATCTCTCCTCTGGGGTTTTGTTGTCCCATCTGTGGCTCCTAGGGTCCTTGCTAGGACACTCAAAGCCATGTCCGTTCCCAACCTTTGAATGTGCTGTTGGGTTCTTGCTCCTAGAAGCTGGTGGAACCCTTTCCCTGTGCCCCATATTCTGAACCTGCACAGAGAGCTGCTCCAATTTAGGTCTTTTTAAATTTTTATTTTATTTTTTTTATGCTTTGGGACATGGTCCCTGCGACCTAGAGGATCCACCTCTGGAAATGTTAACTTTTTTTATTATTTCTTTTGCTCCCCTTTTCCAGAAATTCTTATCGTTTGGTTCTTGGTTCTCCTGAGATATTCTAATTTTCTTCCTTTTTCTTTCATTTTTCTCCATTTTGGGGGAATTTCTTTAGTTTTGCCACCCAATATTTTTGTTGAGTTTTTCATGTCTTTAACCAGATTTTGTTCTGTTTTCTGCATATTCTTTTCGTGTGAAATCCTTCCATGATAGAGATTTTTTTTTTTTTTGTCTCACTGTTTTTTTTTTTTTTAAAATATCTTCTCGAGGTCTTGACTGGTGGAAGCTCCCCTCTTCAGGCTTCATTGTGGGCACTGTGAGTTTCTACCTTTCTTTTTAGATTGGCCATTGGCACCTATAATTCTAGCTTACTGGGGAGCATGGGAGCTCCTCACCTCCAGCACACGGGCCTTGTGTCTGTAACCCTGGGCTAGAAACCTTAGTTCACTGCCTACCCGCTCAGCAGTGGCAGGTGCTAGAGGCCTATGTGAACTTGGGGTCCATTACCAACTCCTGAGGCCCGGGGCCACGGCAGCTGCAGCCACGCCAAGCCCTGTGGGCTGCATCCTCACATCCCAGGTTCCATTTGCTGAACTTCATGACTGTTTTGCTCCGTCCACCCTCATCTTCCCCTCCTTGATGGGATTTATTTATTTATTTATTTATTTATTTATTTACTTTTAAGACAGGGTCCTCCTGTGCAGCCCAAGCTAGCCTTTTTTTTTTTTTTTTTTTTTTTTCTTTTTTCTTTTTTTGTGGAACCAGGGATTGAACTCAGGCCTTTGCTCTTGCCAGGCAAGTGCTTATTCTATTAAGCCATCTCCCTGGCCCCAGCCCAGGCCAGCATTGAACTTACAGCAATCTTCCTGCCTCAGCCTCCTGCCCAAATGTTAGGGTTCCAGCTGTGCACCACCACGCCCGAGGTGTGCCTTTCTATTTTATTTTTAAATTTTTTAATAGGCATTCACTATTGGTTGTTCTATTGCACACTGTTCTTTTCAGTGTAGTTGCTCAGGTTACCGGATATAAGCATGGAAAATTGCTCAGAGTAAAAACTTTAAACATTAACTACTACCTACAAAGAACCAATAGAAATTAATAGTACAATCACCTTCGCTTTCCTATGCATAGTCATACCTGCTTTTTCCCCTTCTTTCTTTTCCTTCCCTCATCCTAGTTATTTATTCCTTCTGCTCTGATTCTTTTCCTTTTATTGTACCAATTGTACCTTTCGGATTTGACTTGCTCTTTCAAGTTCTCTCGCTAGGGAGGCAACACGACCTTGGCTCATGTGGGTCCAGGCACTACACTAATGTCACCTGGTAGGGGCTGGGGAGATGGCTCAGGAGAATAAGTGCTCGTCTGGCAAGTGCAGGGTTCTGAGTTCAATCCCTGGTCCCACAAAATAAATAAATAAATAAAGCCACCTGGTTAAAGAGCTTTTCAAATAAAGCCCTTGCTGTGGCCCAGGAGGCACACAGTCCCACTGTCCCTTGCTCATGGTCACTGATCACCACTGGCTTTGTGTGTGGAAGCTCGTCTGAGCACTCCGGGGACCCTTGCTTCCTTGTGGTCCCTCGGGGAAGACTGGCTTTTGCACCCGTCAGGCAGCTGGGCTGCTCTGAACCAGATGCCCGAGTGCTGCTTGTTAGAGATCTTGGGTCTTAACCCATCCAGGAGCCCCAAGGCTGTCCCGCCCCGTTCAGGCAGCGTCCCAGGAGCTTCCCTGTCCTTGTGTGCCAAGGTGGAGCCTCTCGAGGCCTGGGATTCCTGCTGCTTTCCCCTTGTGCCTCTGTGCTCGGGGTGCTCTGTGACCTTGGAGGGGCTGGGGTCTCCTGGGACTGCTGCTGTCCCCAGGCCCACAGTCCTTGTAGCCTTGCCATCCAGCATAGACTCCCACTGGTCCCAATGGCTCCTGATAATTTCCTTTGCCCTTTGTCAGTTCAGTTGTACACTTTAAAAAAAAAAAAAATTGACTAGTTGGCTAGTTACTTAATTTTTTTTTTCAAATAATTAATTAATTAATTAATTTGGAGGCCAGGGAGATGGCTCAGTAGAATAAGCACTTGCCTGGCAAGCGCAAGGGCCTGAGTTCAATCCCCAAATCTGCCAAAAAAAAAAATTAATTTGGTACAGGGTCTTGCTATGCAGCTCGGACTTGTAGTGATCCTCCTGTTTCAGCCTCCCCAGCATTAGGGTTACAGATATACACCACCACGCCTGGTTTTGGTGGCCTGCACAATGTGTTCCAGCTTCTGGGGCTGGCACAGCATGCAGTACAGGGGATCGAACCCGGGTCCTTGCGCTTGCCAGCCAGGCACTTAGACCACTGAGCTATCTCCCCAGCCCTAGTTGTGCACTTTTAAATGTCCATGGGTATGTGCACATTTAAATGTTTTGTTCAGTTCATAACCATAGAATTTTGAGGCTCTTTGGTTTGCCAATTTACCGGGCAGCATCTCTGTCTTTCTCCACCACCCGGGTCCCTATGCAGCCTCTGTCCCCAGGCAGCTGTCCTCCTCCTGACCTCAGGGGCCTGGTAGACAGAGGCTGAAGTTATTTCTGCATCCATGGAAAGAAAAGACTGCTGCTGTGATGTTCCCCCCATCGCCTGTCCCTGGACCAGCCCCTGAGGGACAGGTGCACATGGCAGAGGGTCTCTGCCCAGCTGTCCCTCCCTGTGGGACCCCACAACTGTCCTTGCTTCCTGCTTTCCCTGCACTCAGCTGGAACTTCAGCCCCACTGCACAGTGGCCTCTGCATCTGGGGAAACATAGAGCTGGGCGGGTGGGGGGGCAGGAGTACACCACCGCAGTGAGCCCGGGGCTCAGTGTGGGGGAGCTGCAAGCAGCCCTGCTGTATCTGGGGACCAGTGTTCTCAGGGTCTTCCCCTGTGGGGTGTGGGAATCCACTGCTCAGTGTTGATCACGAGCCCAGGCCCGGGTGGGGCTTGGGGTGGCCTCAAAAGGAAATTGTCACTGGGTATGGTGGTGCGTGCCTGTGATCCCAGTGCTCAGGGAGACTGAGGCAGAAGGATGGCAAGTTTAAGTCTAGTCAGAGCCACATAATGACATACTTATGTCTCAGAATTTTTAAAAAAATTCTAAGAAGGAGATCTAGTCCTAGCCCAGGCCCGGTGAGTGTGTGGGAGAGCTTCCTCACCCCCCTCCTCCACCTTGTCCCCTCCAGACTCAGCTCAGGCCTGGCATACAGGCCTGTGGTGAAACCCTGCAGCTGCAATCCCTGCAGAGAGAGTAGGGGACAGAAACACCTAGCCAATCCAGGAGCAGATCATCTTGCCAGAGGGCCACATCAGGTTCACTCCAAAGGTGGCAGCAGGAAGGAGCTGAGCACAGCAGCCAGACCCAAGCCAGGCACAGCTGGATAAATCCAAACTTTCTAGATCTGCACCTGAAGTTCAGTACATGCTAAGGTTATAACTGCACCAAAGATCTACAACAAAGGTCAGAAGACAGTGCTGCATAAAATGACAACGAGAAGGAGCAAAGTGCAATCTTAGACCCCAAGCCCACCCGTAACAAGTGCAGAGGACACTAACACAGAACAAATTGGGAATCACACAGCTGAAATCAATGAATCAATGGCTTCTGAAATAAAGAAACAGCTGCAGAAAGGTATAGAGGAACTCAGATTGGAAATGAAAAAAGAAATCCCTGAATTAATAGCATCTGCAGTAAAGAATCAAATGCAGAAACATATGGAGGAAACCCAATGCCCACCCAGAACAAGTGCAGAGGACACTAGCTCAGCTCAAATGTATGAATTAATAGTGTCGATAGTAAGTAAGCAACAGCAGAAAGTCATAGAGGAACTCAGCGGAATTATTTTCTGAAATAAAAAAGGAATTCTCTAAACTCATAGCATCTGAAGTAAAGAATCAACTACAGAAACATAGGGAGGAAACCCAATCTGAAAAAAACACTGCAGTAAAAGAATTAATAACTGCTTCTAAAGAAAACATTGATAAAAGAAATAGAGGAGATTAGAAAAAAAAATTCTAAGAAGGGCTGGGATGTTGCCTTGTGCAAAGACTAAGGTTAGTGTCTAGTACCAAAGAAGAGAAATCATTCTCTTGGTCGCACCTGTTTGAGTGCAGTGAGGCTGACTTTATTCAGGACCTTTGCAGAGGACCAGGGCTGTGACAGAAGGGTTCCGAGGTGGGGAGGAAGCTCAGAGTCACCTCAGGACAGGCAGGGGCTCTGGAGACCATGACCACACTGACCAAGAGGATGCTGGCTATGGTTGACTGGGAGGTGGACACGCAGGCTGTGCGGCCTGGTCTGAGGCAGGTGAGCAGGCCTGAGACTGGGGAGGGTCCTTGCTGAAGCTGAATGTCATGATGCTATGTGCAGATGGGCCTGGTACAGTGACAGCAAACCTTTTGGAGACAGGGGCCCAAGCTGCAACCCAAAGCCCACTTACTTATGATGAAGTGCCAACCCTGCAATTAACCTTGAATGCTGAGCTTTTAGTTTAGAAAAAACAACTCGCACATTAATTTCTTTTGTCTTACAAGAAAACAACATGGTTGCCCAAGGTACACCAGCACTGGCCTAGAAGAAGGGTCTGCCCAGGGTTCTGCTTGGGGGGCTGTGTCCTAACGTCCCTCCTCCCAAGGGATTTGGGCTGCCACCGGGGTTGGCCTTTCCTGACACATGGACACCTGTTCTGTCTGTCCTTTGTCCTCCTTGGATAATGAAAGTACCTCCCAGGGAAAATACAGAGACACAAAAATACACAAAGAAGGAAATTAAAAAATGTTTGTCTGCAGCCCTTCTGGTGTACTGCTGTTAGAATTCCTCCCAATTCTCTAAGTTTGTGTGTCCGTGTGTGTGTGTGTGTGTGTGTGTGTGTGTGGTACTGGAGCTTGAACTCAGGGCCTTTACACTGAGCTGCTTCCCCAGCCTTTTGTAATTTTAAATTTGAGACAGGGTCTCCCTAGTTGCTAGGTTCTCTGTCACCTTCCCTGCGCTCCAATTCCAGGCTTAAACTTGGCATCTTCCTGTCTCAGCCTCCCAGAAAACTGGGATCATAGGGATGCATCACCATGCCTAGTTTAATTTTTTTTAAAGAGAAGAATATATTTATTAAGGGAAAGAAAGCTTTTGTCCAAGAGGGGACAGAAGGGGACCCGAGTGGGTTGCCAAGGAATCTCCCTTTTCTAGGGATTGATTATTGATTGATTTAGTACAAGGTTTTGCTACACAGCTCAGCTTCATAGGGACCCTCCTGTCTTAGCCTCCCTTGTGCTGGGATTATAGGAATGTGACATCATACCCAGTTTTGGGGCTTGCATGGCATGCCTGGGATTCCGGGGCTGGTGTGGCATGTGGTACTGGGGTTCAAAATCAGGGCCTTGCATCTGACAGGGAGGTGCTTAGGCCTTGTCTAGGGATTTTTATAGAGCAAAACCATGAGGTGAGGCGGGTCTAAGGTGGGAAACAGGGTAACTCACTAGGTGGGCCTGAGGGGGGACAAAACTCTGGTCAACCAATAAGATTATGGGCATAATTGCTCAGGTAAGATTGATTAAATCAGGGTCAGATGGGGAAGCGAGTCACGTAGCAAGCCGGCATGAATACAGAACGGCTCTTGCTGTAGGGGTTGGGGTAGTGAGTCTTACTGGCTTTTTCAAGGTGATTGATACCTACCTAGAATGTCAGTCCCTGAGGTCTGTCCCTAGGGAGGTGTGTGGCTGTGTTTGTTTCATTTTTGTCTTGAGGTCCGGCCCACAGTGAAGGAGCCTGTCTCTCCCACAGTTGCGAGGTGTCCTGTCTTCTTTATTGGGTTGTTTGAGTGCACAGCCCCGTCTCTCTGCCTCTAATATTTCTGTCTAACTCAGCTGCCTATAACATTCTCCCCTCTGAAGAAGTAACCCGAACTGCCGTGAGGGAACCGTGGATGATGACCGTTCTGGCTTCTTTCGGCTGAAAGGGGTCGTAGTTGTTGATTGGCAGTCAGAGGTACTCTCCAGAGGGTCATCTGAAGGCCCTCAGTGGCACTTTCATCTTGGCGAGGCATATAGCTTTCAGTCTCCACCCACTGATCTCGTGGAAGACCGCCAAACGACAGAAGGGAATGAAACCTGAAGTATACCTGGGATGAGTATGTGTTCTCTAGAATCAAAGAATGAATTTTAGGAGCAATGGAGGTTAAGAGCAGAATACATTTATTGAGAGAAATAAAGCTTCTATCTGAGAGAGAGACAGAAGGGGACCCGAGTGAGTTGCCCTAATTTTTTTTTTTTTTTTAATCAACTCAACTGGAAGGCAGGTGAGAGTGTGGCTGTGGGTTTCTCTTCCCTTCACCAGCATACTGTAAAGATTTCCTTATATTATTAAGCATTCCTTGGAAGTGTGATTCTTCAGATACGGTATCGATTTCTGGCCTAAGAAAAGAGTGCATATGTCGTCAGCTTCTCTTGGTATTTAGAGTATTTCTGTGTTTCATAAATGGAGCCAATTTGCCATCCGTAGAGTGAGGTGCTGTCTGGGACATGAGAGATTTTTTTTTTTTTTTTTTAATGTATTTGGTACAGGGTCTTTCTCTGCAGCTCGAAGCTCAGACTCATAGTGATCCTCCTGTTTTCAGCCTTCCTAGCACTGGGATGACAGGCGTGGGCCACCATGCCCACCTTTGGTGCTGGCTCAGCACACCCAGGGGTGGGGCCGACGCGGCATGTGGTGCCAGGGACGGAACCCTGGTCCCTGTGAGATGTCTAGTCCGCTGAGCTGTGTCACCCACCCACGGAGTGGAGAATTTGACCGCACTGCTTTCTTTCCGCCCCGGCCGCAGCGGAGGGCGCTGAGAACAGCCTCGGAAAAGCTCCGCAACCGCTCGTCCTTCTCCACCAACGTGGTGTACACCACGCCGGGCACGCGGGTGAACAGGTACATCAGCCGGCTGCTGGAGGCGCGGCAGCCCGAGCTGGAGATGGCGGACCTCAACTTCTTCACGCTCAAGTACAAGCACGGGGAGCGGGAGCGCAAGGTGAGCCGGGGCGCAGCCGCCTGGGCCTGGGAAGCGGCGGCCGGCCGAGGCTTGATGGGTCTCTCGCCCGCAGTACCACCAGCTGCAGGACGAATACTTCACCAGCGCCGTAGTCCTCGCCCTCATCCTGGCTGCCTTATTTGGCCTTATCTACCTTCTGGTAATCCCGCAGTAAGTGCCGTTCTGTCGGGGTTATGGCAGGGTCCCCCAGAAGCTGTCCAGGGTAGGTGGGTGCAGGGTTTTTTTTTGTTGTTGTTGTTGTTATTGTTTGTTTGTTTTTTGTTCCAGTCTTGGGGATTGAACCTAGGACCTCCATATCTTTTTAAAATTTTTTATTTGAAACGGGATCTCCTCACATGACCCCAGGTTTGAACTTGAGATCTTCCTGTCTCAGCCTCCCTGAGTGCTAAAATTGTAGGTGTGCACCGCCTCGGCCAGCTTAGGCGCACCTGACTGCCCGGTTATACTCCCGTTGCTTCTGGCCTTCCGGAGAGGCGCTGCCACCTCCCGGTTGTTACTGAGACCCGCAGCTCAGCTCGCCGGGACACGTATGGCAAGGCCTCGGCACTGCGGACTTGATCCTGTACATCTGTGGGCTCTGCGTCCGTGAGACCTGTGCCGTTGGCTTACAAGGACCTCAGAGGGGAGATAGACAGTGCCCCGAATGTCCCTGTTGGTCTCTGGGTTCACAATGTTTTAAGAAAGATTAAAATGAGACGGTGGGGCCCCCTGAAAAGAAAGTCAAATAGAGTGATTTGATATTTAACCATTCCACGGGACGGTGTGAGTTTGGCAGGTTTTACTTTGGGATCTGTGGACCCCAGGACGTCTCGGCCTGCTTATTTTCTCCCAGACACACCTGTTCTTAATGAGCCCACCAGGGGGAGCAGCGTCTCCTTGGAGTTTCCAGAAAACCCTCCAGGCGGGGACTCTGAATGCAGGCACAGCCCTGTTTGGGGTTCAGACTTGATGGAAACATCCTTCCCAGGCAGCCTGGTGAGGGGTGGCTTGTTCCCTTGGAGGAAAAGGCTCCGAGTGGTTTGGGACCCATCTTGGAGTCCAGACGCTTTCCCCAGAAGAGAACCTGACATAACCGTAACCCGGCCCCAGGGGCCCCAGGATGGGCAGCCGGGGATCAGGGTGCTGGGGCCGTGGCACAGGGAACAGGGACCGGTTCTCAGGAGGCTGCAGGCCCCCTCCCCTGGGCCCTGCCCACCAGTAACCCCGGTGTCCTCTGTTCCAGGAGTGTGGTCGTCCTGCTCCTGCTAGTGTTCTGCATCTGCTTCCTGGTCGCCTGTGTGTTGTACCTGCACATCACCCGGGTCCAGGTACGCGTTGCTGTGTCCCTTCTCTGCATGTCACCTGGTCCAAGTGCCCAGTGGTATCTGCGGCCCGCTCAGCAGTGGGACACAGGAGACACTTGCAGAATCTGGGCATGGGGGGAGGGCTTGGGAGGTAGGGTGGTGGTTTCCAGGGTGCCGTGGGCATCAGCTCTGGCTCTGCACCATGGATTCTATGCCTCGGGACATCCCAGTGTCCATCCCATGCGCCCATTTCCCCAGTGCATGGCCACATGTCACTTCCGACCAATGTAGTGTTACTTTGCACATCATTGTTGAAAACAGGAACCTCTTGAAACAGTGAAGTCTAGTTTCATTCTTCACGTCATCACTGGAACCCAGGGTCTTGGCACGGAGCTCCACCTCCAATCACTTTTTGAATTTTATTTCGAGACAGGGTCTTGTTAAGTCACTCATTCGCTCAGGCTGGGCTTAAACTTTTGATCCTCCTGCCACAGCCTCCCAGAGCGCTGGACTTCGGACACACCATCATGCCTGGCTCTGAGATGCTATCTGCTAAAAGCACATCTGCACGTTGACTGCAGGTCGAGCGACATTCAGTTCAAAACTTCTCTCTTCAGATAGATTGCTCTTAACATGTGCTGGGCTGGCCGCTGCTGTTGCTTTCTCTAAGGCGCTGTGTGTCTTTATTCCAGTCTTTAGTTGTGTTCTTAGCAGTGTGAGCGTTCAGAGGACTTGCTCCTTCTCTCCTTGAAAACATTTGTCGAATGCTTCAAGGTGTATTTAAAATAGAGATTTAAAAATAAAATTGTAATAACTTAAGAATGGTATAAAGTCTGTGTGAAGAATGCAGTAAAACTTAGCTCAAGGACATGAAAGAACACACAAGAGGGGAAATCCTCACTGCTTCTGAGATGGGAGAATTCAGGGTAATGAGAGCTTCAAGTTTGTTCTACGCAGTGGATCCCAGCACTGGTCACGTCGCAAAGCCCGCAGAGGAGAGCTGTTGCTCTTTTTAATTTAAGGACTTCAGTGTTTTATAGTTTTGTTTTAAACTGTACGGAGTTCCTCAGCTTGGAAACACAGGAAATGTGTGCGGAGGGTGCAGGACAGGGAGGGTGCAGATCCCCCATAGTTCGCTTTTGTTAGATTCTTTGCTGTATGTGTAGATCTGTGTGTGATCAGAGAACTCGAAGCAAAGCGGCATCTTCTTGCCCAGTGTTTTCCAGGGTGCCTGACGATTCAGATCCGCACGGTCCTGTGCCTGTTCATAGTGGTCTTAATCTACTCTGTGGCCCAAGGATGTGTGGTGAGAACTGTGACACGGGGGTGGGGGGTGGGGTGGGAGGGGGAGGCAGGGGTGATGGAATGGGGCAGGGGTGGGGCGGGTGACAACGGGAGCTCAGGTCTGGGGTGCAGGTGGGAGCCACAACCAGGTACCCCCGTGTCCTTACTGCTCCTGCAGCTGGCTGTGGGCAGCAGGATCCTTAGGGCCTAGTCGGGCCTGGGGAGGTGGCTATGAAGAGGTTGGGGGTACTGGGAGGCTGACCCCCACCTCCCTGCTTCCTGAGGGGCTACCAGCCTACCTGGCCTTTCCTGACTATGCCCCTCACTCCCCAGGTGGGCTGCCTGCCCTGGGCCTGGAGCTCTAAGTCCAACAGCTCCCTGGTGGTCCTGACGGCTGGTGGCCGGCGCACCGTGCTGCCTGCCCTGCCCTGTGAATCGGCCCAGCACGCCCTGCTGTGCTGCCTGGTGGGAACCCTCCCACTAGCCATATTCCTGCGGGTGTCCTCCTTGCCAAAGATGGTCCTGCTGTCCGGGATCACCACATCCTATATCCTGGTCCTGGAGCTCAGCGGCTACACCAAGGTTGGGTGAGTGGGGCTTCTCTGTGTCCGGACTGGGCAGCATTGCTAGAGAATTCTGGGTGTGTGCAGATGGGTAGGGATGATGCGCTTTCAAAGCCCTGAGTCTTGGAGCTCTGCCCTTTACCCTCCTCAGCCAGATTCAAGCTTTTGGACTTGTGGCCTGGGTCCCCTGTCTAGCTGGATGACAGAGCCCCTGGCTGCCCTCTGCCCACCTCCAGGTTGTGACAGTCCCACACCAACTGGGGCTTCCTCCTTTGTTTCCCCAGGGGTGGAGCCATCTCTGGGCGCAGCTACGAGCCGATCATGGCCATCCTGCTCTTCTCCTGCACGCTGGCCCTGCATGCCAGGCAGGTGGACGTCAGGCTGCGGCTGGACTACCTCTGGGCAGCACAGGCAAGATGGGCATGCTCTGCCTCTGGGGTGGGGTGGGGCGCTGCCAGATGTGGGTGGCTGAGATGCTCCTGCCATGTGGCCCTGAAAGGCCCTCTTTAGAGGGCCCTGCCCAGCAGCTTGCTAGGCCCTGAAGCTCTAGGCTGGACAGACCTCTGCGGGGCAGGGCAGGGCAGCAGGACTTTGTCCGAGGATGAGGACACAGGGCACAGGCTGTGCATCGAGCATGCGGGCAGCTGGTGTCAGCATGGCTGTTCTGTGTGGCAGTGAGTTCTCCGCCCAGCAGGGTGTGGCAGTGATATTCAAAGGGGAGAAGGCCCTGGGGACTGGAGAGTGGCTCTGGTTCTGTTGGGGTCACCAGGACACAGGGAGATCCAGCTCTTGCTCCACCCCTGCAGAGAGAGGGGCTGTGGGTGGTACTGGGAATCTATTTTTAACTGTTCCCTGGAGATTCTGGTGGGAGGGCCGTGTGGCCCCTCATGAGAGACTCGGAGAAGCAGAGCTGGCGTCTGCCCTGATGACCCGGGTCCCAGGTGGGGCTCATGCTTTTGCTGAAGCAGTAGGTGGCATTCTGCTCAGTTATGAGGTGGGTGCTTACAAGAGCCCCTGCTGACCAGCCACACCAAGGACTGCAGGGCCACCTGGTGTCCACAGCAAAGAAGGCAATGGGCCCCACACCCTGCTGTCTGTGGGGTGCGAGACAGGAGCCCTAGGGCAGGTTTATGTGGGCTCAGATCCTTTCTACAGGGTTTCTCACAAATCTCTCCACCCATCTTTCTCCACCTGCAAATGGAAAATGAAGGCTGAGGAATCTTAGCTTTAGCAAGATGAGTTTTGTTTTCTTTTTGAGACAGCATTTTGCAAAGTCCTTAAGTCTCGCAGGCTTGCCTTGACCTTGGTGATTCTCCTGTCTCAGCCTCTCAGAATGCTGGGATGACAGGTGTGGTTTAGAGTCTTCTTGAAGCTATGGCGTTCCCTTGTGGGAAGGTGGAGTCACAGGTGGGAAGGAGGGGCCACAGAAGGACATGCCAGCGCTGCGCAGTCAGGGGTGGCTGAGCCAGGACCCAGGGGCTGTCTGTGTGATCCCAAGTGGGCTCCAGTCCTCTGGTGTGAGCAGAATCTGAGGTCTGTGGAGCGGAAGGGTCTATAGTCTGGGGCCTCCAGTCTGCAGGCAGGACTGTGACCCCGTACGGGTGCAGCCAGTGGGCAGTGGGGAAGATGGCAGAAAGGAGCTGGGTAGAGGCTGCAGAGGTAGACATGAGCTGAAGAAGCCGGGCATTTCCTGGCCACAGTGTTGAGGGAGCAGCAGGGGCTGGGCCTGGCATAGGTGTCCTTGTCGCCGGTCCCAGCCTCTTTCTTCCTGAAGGCCAGTGATGGACCAGATTCCCCACCTCCAGCAGTGAAACGGGGTGAGAACCCTAATTTTGGTTGCCCGGGATCGCTGGAATTCCCGTTTGACATTCTGGCTTTGGTCCTGGAGCGAGGGAGGGAAGTGTGCTGGGTCTCTCTTCCCTTGGTCACCAAGGGTGTCCCTTCACCACTGGTCTCGAATCCTGTTGGGTGGCAGCACCTGTGGATGCTCCCCATTGGTCTAGCCCAACATGATGCAGGTATCATGGAGCCTACCAGTCTGCACTGTTCAGGTCACCCGCCCTCCCCGGTCATGTTGTGGGGAGTAGCTGGTCACAGGGGCAGCCACCACACACGGGATTCTGGAAAGGAGCCTTGGCCAGCTGCAGTGGCCAGAGCCATGCCGGGTAACTGGGTGGCCTCTTTAGGGTAGGCTGTGCCACCAGCCGCAGTCTCTGTCCTGCTCTACTGGCTGTTGAGTGTGATCTGACCGGGTGGCACCTGAGATCGGCTGCTCCTGCCACCCGCTGGCCCCTGTGGTACAAAATCCTTTGGGTATGAATCCTCCCAGAGCTAGGAAGCCTAAGACAGCGGGACCACAGGATAGGGGTTGGTACAGTGATCCATTCCAGCACAGTTGGCCTCGAACTCTGAGCAAGCGGGTTGAGGTCTTGGCTGTGACCTCCATTTGTAGGGTGCAGCCTGGGGGAGATTTTTTTCTCATGTGGATTGACCTGGCCTTTTCTTGGCTTTGGTTGTTAAACTGTCATTTTTGGTATTAAGTACAATACTTAAATGTTGTTAGAGCCAATGTTCGACCAGATGATGCACTAGACCACCATGCCCACCATTTTCCACACGCAAACTCAGGGCGTGGATGCCACCGGCCGACACCCAGGGGTTGGGAAGGAAGGGTGGCTAACTGGAGCACACTGACATATTTTTTCCATAGATGTGTAGCAATCAATGTCACCTTGCTTTCCTGTAACCCAGCCAGAGACAGAACTTTCTAGAATGTGTGTTTGCCTCCTGGACATTTAGGCAGGTTATACGGACATCAGGGTACCCCGCATTATTGCTCAATTTCCAGGCCAAAGGCTAGGTGGGTTAATTATTTTTGGAGAACAGCTTGGCTATACAAACTTGCATAAATAGATGACATCCCTCATGATGACATCTTCAACCTCTTCATCTTTAACTGCTGGGGTGTGTTTCTCCTCAGACTGTTATTTTCTTTGATCTTGGCAGATAATCACCATGGCAATTATAACTTCAGTTTTATGCTCTTCAGTATCCATGCAGCCAATGCTTTGTCTGCCTGGAAGTTCCTCATGAGAGGCAAATTCCCATTGCATTTTGACTCATTAACTTTGAGAAGGAAAATCGCCCACAAAGTCCTGGCACAGACACGGAAGAAGTCTCTCCTAGGTCCCTGAAACCCTGACACATTAGTCCTTAGGAACAAACTAGCTCCACACCCTGGCAGTATCTTCAGCTGGCTTGGGGTCTGGTAATGCTGGCCCCATAAAATGAGCGGGGAGTCTTCCATCCTTAACAGTTTGGTGGAAGACTGTGTAGACTTGGGCAGTGTTTCCCTCCCCAGCTGTCAGGTGACCTGAAGCCCTTCAGACCTGGAGGTTTTGTTGGTTGTTTGTTTGGTCAGGAAACTTTAAAATAAAATTCAATTTCTCTCAAGATATAAGGCTATTCAGGTTTTCTATTTCTTTTTGGAGGTAGTTTTGAAGTTTAGGTCCTTCCTTGAAAGTTGTCTATTTTCTTGACATAAAGTTGGTTATAATATTCTCTCTGCTCCCTTTGATATTAATAGAAACATATTTTCATTATTAAGTTCTTTGAGTTACTTTGAATTTGATTTTTGTTATTTTCCTAGGTGATGTGAGAGAGCTGTATCTTCTTTTGTAAAATGGATGCCGTGTGTCATGAGTTTGCTTTTAAGCTCTGTGTTAGCTGAATTCTACAAATAAAAATTAGCATTCTATGTCATTTCATTTTCCTTTGGTTTAAGGCACTTTCAAATTTTCCTTTTGATTTCTTCTTTGAACCAAAAAATTGAGAAATACGTTTTTAATTGAGAATTTTCTCACAGACTTCTGTTGTTGAGTTTTTAAAAATTTTTATGTATTTGGTACAGGGTCGCCCTGTGCAGTTCAGACTCATAGTGATCCTCTTATCTCAGCCTCCCCAGCCGTGGGATTACAGGTGTGCCCCACCATACCTGGTCTTGGTGGCCAGCTCGGGGTGCCTGGGGTGGTGCTGGCATGGCACATGGTACTGGAGATCAAACCCAGATCCTTATCCTTGCCTAGGCAGGCACTTAGACCACTGAGCTATCTCTGCAGCCCCCAATTGTTGAATTTTAAATTATATTGTGGCCCAAGAATATACATGGTAAAATTTGAATCCTTTTCATTCTTGAGACTCGTTGCACATCCATGTTCTACGTACCCCTTGCACAGAACGTAGGTCCTGTCACGGTTGGATGGTGTTTTAGAATTGCAGTGACGTCAGCTGGTTGATGATGTCCTTGGTCTTCTGTTTGGGTGCTCTCGACATGTTTGAGAGGGCTGTTGGGATTTCCAGGTAATAACTGCAGTAGAACTCCTTGTACTTCGCTCGATTTTTGGTTTGTGTAATTTGCTGACCTGGTGCATTACTGTCTAGAATTGTACCCCGTAAATAAATGTGCCCCTTTGTCACCCTTGTTTCCCAGGTGACATCCTTAGTTCTGTGGTCTATGTTGATGTTAGTAGTCCAGCTTTCTGGTTAGATCTTTTCCCACTGTTCTATCTTTAACCAAATTGTGTCTTTTCATTGACAGTGGATTTCTTCCAAGCACCGCATCTTGCTCTTGTAAGTCCAGGGTGTCAGCTTTCCCCTTTTACCTACTAAGCCCCTCTGCAGTGTACTTCTTGAGAAGATTGGAGTTTAGTCAGCTGCCTTGCCGTTTCTTATTGGTCCCACTTTTACTTTGCTTTTTTATTCAGCTTTTTCTGACTGTCTTGGGTTAATTTTATTATTCTACTTATTCTTTTTGTTATTTTTTACTGTGCTCAGTAGCTGTAGCTCTTTACTGTATGAATTTAATAGGTAAGTAACATAGGCATCACCCAGTGATAGCTCTGTCCTCACACACAGTGTAAGAACCTTACAACAGAAAGTGACCACAATGGGTTGAATATCTGCATCCCCCAAAGTCTGTAGGCCGAAAGCCTGTTTATTTTATTTATTTATTTTATATTTTAAGGAAGGGTCTACAGGGTGTTCAGGGTCTCACTACTAGATTGGACTCATAGTGATCCACCTGTTTACAGCCTCCCAAGAGCTGGGATTACAGCATGCCCCACCACACCCAGTCTCAATTGCTGTCTCAGTGTGCCCTGGGGGTGGGGCCAGCATGGCAGGCCTGGGGATTGAACTCCTGGCCCCTGTACCTGCTTGCAGGCACTTTAATCCACTGAGCTATGTGGCCGGCCCTAGGCCTGTTTATTATGTACCATGAGACAGTATCTTTCATGCTTTCTTTCTTTTTTTTTTTTTGCGGAACCGGGGATTGAACTCAGGCCCTTGTGCTTGCCAGGGAAGCGCTTATTCCACTGAGCCACCTCCCTGGCCCCCGTCTTTCATGCTTTCTTTGTATGCTTGGGCTTGGTTGAGTTGCATGAACCTGTGGATTTATAATTCCATAGGCATGGGAAAATCTTTATGTCTTCCAATGCCATTCCAGCACCTCTCCTTTCTCTCCCTCCTTCAGGAATCCCCACTACACATCACGTGGCCACTTTACCAATACTCTGTTTCTTTTGTTTTTTCTCCCCGCTGCATTTTATTTTGATAGATCTTCCAACTATGTAAGCTTCGTAATGTTTTCTACTGCAGCATCTAACCACTGTTAGTTCCATTCTTCATCTCAGATGTGACAGCTTTTCAGAAGTTAGCCATGAGTATAGAGCGTACGTTTTTCATGTGTTCTTTCTGTTTAACATGGTTTCTTTTCTTGAGTGTATGGAGTGAATTCCTGAGAACCGTTTTTTTTTTTTTTTTTTTTAA